GGCCAAGTTTGACCGGGGTTTTGGTTTGCACACAACCAGTAGCTATCTCCACTGGTGGCAGCAAGGCCTGGGGATCTGGTTTTCAGTTTGGCCACTTGGGATGCTCAGGTAGAACTGAAATCTAGCCTTGCTCAGTGACAGATGACTGAGCATTTGTGTTTGTTGTTGTTTTAATTTGTTGGTTGTTTCTCTATCTGTGAGTTCACATCAGGACAATACTTTGTGCCCAGTGGAAAAGCAAGCAGTCTCTTGAGATCTGGAACAGTGAAATTTTATGTTCCAGTGTTTACTTCTGACCTGTAGCCAAAGCTATGGAACTAAACTTTAAGTTCTTTCTCTGTATCTCTGTACCTGGGGGGGGGGGGAAGAAAAATCACTGGGTACATGTGAATCATCTTCTGACCTTCTGAGAGTAATAATAAATTAAAATGAAGGACCTCTGTCCTGATTGGTTTACAGGGACTAATTAGCATTTAGATAAAACTAACATTTTCAAAATTCAAAGAAAATAAAATGAAATTCTAAAAATTTAAACATGTTTATGGTTAAGAGGAAGAACTTTCGCATCAAAAAATGCTGATTTCAGAAGCAAGAAAACAGGTTTACATGATCAAAACAAATTCTCACACAAGTCAAAGTGATTTGACAATCTGGTTTAAAAAACAGCTATATGTCTTTTCCTTGTTTTATCAGTGTATAATATAACACACACATAATTTCATATTTAAAATAAGTTTGGATTTGTTTTATCCTAGAGATTAGCTAAAAATTTTTTTTAAATTTTATTTTAATGTTTATTTACTTTTGAGAGAGAGAAAGACAGAGTGAGCAAGGGAAGGGCAGAGAGAGAGGGAGACACAGAATCCCAAGCATGTTCCAGGCTCTGAGGTGTCAACACAGAGCTTGATGTGAGGCTCGAACTCACGGAGTGTGAGATCATGAACTGAGCCGAAGCTGGACGCTTAACTGACTGAGTCACTCAGGTGCCCCTAGTTTAGCTGAAATTTTTAAAATGTCTTATAGTATTAGTTTACTGAAAAGATAAACTAAAGTTATGTTTAAGATTAAGAAAAATATAGAAGTTGTATTCAACTAAACTGAATGATCATTGTGGCACACCTTTTTATGTCAATAGTAATTATGTTCTGTGATGTGTCAGCTTAAACATAATTTCCAATATCTGTAAGTTATGTACTATGGTCTTAAAGTATCTGGTTGTTCCAGAATTGAAAGAAGACCATGGAGAACAAAAGTTGCTAAAAATTTTTTAAATTGTAGGTTTGCACGAAGGGAGCTTTATTTGACTTGGTTGATAATACTTGCAAATAGTAAGTCTATAAAAATGTAATTAAAATGGTCAAATTTTGGCAAAGCTTGCACAACTGTGATGGGTTTACTCATAAAGTAATTGTTTAAAAAATGTATTGCATGACAAATGCCCTATTAACATAAAACTAAAACGCAGTTATCTATATTGGAATGATAGACTGATCTTGGAGAAATCAGCCCATGCTTATGAAAGGTAACAGAAGGTTATTTTTCTATATGATCTGCCCAGAGAACAGAGATGCAGTATCTCACAAGAGTAACTTTTTTGTGCTTTGTGCTGAGAGATATCCCTGAATATTTAAATGCCAAAAAATTCCTCATTTCCTAATTATTTAAGATTTACTCTTTATCACAGAGTAATCTATTGTTGCTTTATTAGGTAGGCAAATTGCAAATATTCATTGTTCTTAGGCATCCACAATCCTTTATTAGTCACGTAACGAAATTACCTCCGATTAATATTTAATTTTGTCTTCCCAAAATCAGACCCTAAATTCAGGAAAAAAAAAAACCAAACAAGTTTTTCAAGGTATCTTTTATATATGAACTAACCCTAAGTTTCCCAGAGGACCCGTGGCGAGCGCAAGATTTGTTCCTTGACCTATGAAAAGAAGAATGTTGGAAATAATTAGGTTTGCTATGCCCTTTATTGATGAATAGCTCAACACCATCAAAAATGGCATAGAAAGATTTGTCAAATCAAGTGAGGAGCTCATCCTTCCCTAGGCTAATGTTGTACAGGTGAAATATTATAATATATATTAAGTCCAGAGATGGTGCCCTTTACAGAAAGGTCTTGGATATATGCCAATGTCCTCATCCTCTATAATATGTTCTTACCCTCAGGGGAAATGCTGATTAAATAAGTCCAATGTCCTATGCCCCGATAGAGGATTTTAACTCTCCTTGCTTATACCACTCATTAACTTCACCACAGATTAACCATAGCTGCTTACTCTTACCCTTACCGAGTGGTCTCTACTTTCCTCTCATGTTTGCCTAGACACTTGGCTGTAAGTTATAGACTGCATCATGCCTTCAACAAAGAAAGAGTCTCAGAGCCTTGGGGATAGGACTTTACCAGATACTCTTTCTTCACTCTTGAGATTTCAGAGAACAGACTTGTGGGTAGAGGTTTCTGAGCGGACACTGCACAGACAAGCATGAGACGGCACTAGGCGGCTAACTCAGATTTTCAGGACTACTTTTAGTCCATAAATAGATGACTTTGTGAAATCAAACTAATGACTCAAGATGCAGAGGAGTAAGAATTAATTACATAGAACTCATCGAACGGATACTAGAAATCCAATTGCCATATGCATTGTGAAAAATCATTGGCATTACGTGTGATGTCCTATTGTCTGATGGGGAAAACCCTGTAGCATCCACCTTCATCTATCTCTAACCCTCAATTTAGTTGACTTTGATTTTGCAAACAAAACGGAACACTGTTTTCAATGGTAGTTTTTTCTCCTTGGTGCCTCAGAATTCCCGAAGAACTGTATTTTCTAAGTCACTTTATTTTTTAATTGCAATAACATTACTTGCAGAGGCTCAATGAGAATCTATCTCCCCTTTTACTGGGATGTAATCAAATAGAAAGCAGCAGAGGCCAAGCCCAGAGCGTCATAAAAATAAGCCTCATCTCATGGAGTATGACAAAGCCCATTATTGAGGCACTGGCTTTACAGGCAGTAAGGAAGGTTACTTCCTGGACTGCCAGGAACTTTAGCAGATTTGGGAACACTAGAGGAAACAGAAATTCACCAACACTTAAAAGTGCTAAAAATGAAACGTACTGGAGGTGATGTTTGTTTGTTTTTGAGAGAGAGAGCACGCAGAGAAAAGGTCCGAGGGAGAGGGCGAGAGAGTATCTTCAGCAGACTCCATGCCCAGCATGGAGCCCAATCTCACAACCGTGTAATCATGACCTAATCAAAATCAAGCATTGGATGCCTCACCAACAGAGCCACCCAGGCACCCCTGGAGGTGGTTTTTGAGGTTGGTTTCCTGCCCTTGGAACAGAAGAGTGACTAAGATCATCTCAGGAAGATCGCTGGGGTGAGGGAAGACACTGAAATGCTCTCCTAGATTCCTTAATAAGTCATCAGATAGAAGCTAATTTTCTGACTTCATTAATAATAGTTGTTCAGGGATGAAAGGTAAAGCATAGGGAATATAGTCAATGGTATTAAAAAGTTGTATGGTGACAGATGGCAGCTACAGTTGTGGTGTCCATAGCGTAACGTATAGATTTGCAAAATCACTATGTTGTACCTCTGAAACTAGTGTAACATTATGTGTGAATTATACCACACTAAAAAAAGCAAGAGTTGTTCAGCACAACATTGAGCCAGGTTTGCTATCCATTACATAAGAAGGTCTCTTAGGTGCTAATTAAAACTTTTTCTGAATTTATGTCAAAGAATCAAGCCCAAATACAATGCCTTTTTGTGACCACGAAGAATCGCTGGAGATTATTTATGACCACAAAGGGAACCGTCGTATTGGAGTGCCATCTCACAGACCCACCCAAGGAACTTAGACTTCTGTAAAGGTACTCACATTTGTTTTCATTCCCAATTACTGATCAGGATATCTGTGAGGATAGATATTAACCTACCAAAACTACAAGTGATGCAAACGATTCTTTTTCTAAAATTCCAAATGAATCTTGTTCCGTATGGATGGAAATGGCTTCTGTCCACTACAATCCAAACGTTACAATTTTGTTGTCCTGTAGGACATTATTGAGTTTGGTCTGTGGTTCAGAAATCCTATTCCAGCATACTTTCTTTCAGCAACTAAAGCTTGATACTCTGACACTTTTGTAAACTCAGCTTTATCGTCCTGCTGCATCCCTCATTAAGGAACAACTCATCATTAATGAGTTAAAATAATCTCTGACCCTGTTCATCCTGAAAAACAAATAAACAAAAAGGTCTATGCTTAAAAGAAAAAAATAATAAGAATGCAGTTAGTTTGTCCTCATTCATTAACAGGACTCTCAAGGGATGTTTTCTCTTTTCTCTCTCTTTTCAGTATTTTCCACAATAAGCATAAATCCACTTTAAGTAGAAAAAGACAACTCAAAAAATGTTTCCGTGTGTGTAGTTGGGGGTCACTGTATGTACTAGGAGGCACTGCTGAAGGGAGGATGGGGGTGGTGTGTGTATGTGTCCAGGACAGAAAAAAGGTTGAGCAACACTTAGCCAACCTTTCGACCTTCCAGACAACATGCTATTCAGAAAAATGTATTGCCTAATTCCCAGTGAGTCATGATTTCACTGCTTACTTCTATCAGACCATGCACATGGGAATTTGATGACATCAAGGATAGAAGTCAGGGTTTACTCACAGTATTCATGTTTGTAAGACTTAGAAGAAATTCAGTAAAAGGCATAACTACCTTGTTACATTGATCAAGAATCTACGCTTGAGAGGACTCTGCCGAGCAACTTAATTCAACACTAGGGACAGGGAGGCCTTCAAATACCCACACGTGGCCACTAAGAGTGACTGAGAGAAGGAAGGACAGCAGAATTCTAGAAAGGCACAGCCACGGCTGCTGCACTTGGACATCCTCCAGGCCCACACATATCCTTGGAGCGTGTCTCCAAGAAGCCGCTCAAGGGAACAGTGAGGTCAAGCCAGATGAAGAAGATTACCAGTCGCTCCATTTCCTGCTCCCTGAGTCTCTCCTCCCTCTGCCGCCGGTGATAATCCATCAGGTCTTCGCGGCCTGAAATGGAGCTGATGCTGCTTTTCCTTTCCCGAAGGACAGGCTGGGGGGTTCCTGAGGCCTGTCTGAGGCTGTCCAGATCCGCATCATCGAACTCGACAGATCCACAAGAGAAGTTCCTCCTGGTGGCGAAGACTCTGTCCGGCTCTCCAGGAGAAAACAGATGACCAGGGCCGGGCCCCGGATAGGAAGCCCTGTCAAGGTCATCGGAGGTACAGGAGGAGGTGGAGGCCAGAAGCATCTTCCGAGCCACTCGAGGACTGGCAGGGACGCTGAGGGTGGAACTTACATAAGGGTTGCCCTCAGAAGCCGAGGGTTTATAGGGTAAAGCCCCTGAGCTCAAAGAAGAGAAATTCAGGTAATTGTCATTGTCTACGATGCTGTGAGGTAGATCCTTTTCCCCCAGTTTCGCTCGTTTGGAATTGCCCAGGGAGTTTCTGGGAGGCAAAGTGAGGGGTGTCAGCTGGTTGTCTGTGGCCCTGTGTAACCTGGGGAGAGAGCGGCTGTAGGCCCCCATGTGACTCAGGCTGCTGCCCGAATACTTCCTAGTTCTTAAACCCATGCTTTCAGATGCCGGCTCCTTGTGTCGGGTCAACTTGGGCTGAAGTGTCAGGTTGTCCTGGCTGCTCATTTTCCTGGCTTGCTTTGGGCTTGAAGGCATGCTTGCCGCCCCCGATCTGCTGATGGGAGAGAAGCCGGTGTCGCTCAGGGGACTTCCATTCCACATGGCCAGGAGTGAACCGGACGCCTTTCGGCCTTCTAGCCCCCCGAGAAAGTAGACATTGTCATGGGATTTATTCCTTGAGCTATATTTGGAATAGGGAGGCTTCTCTGCGAGCCTCAAGGACCTTTCACTGTCCCTGCCGGTATAATGATCAAAGTCCGCTCTCCCAAGTGGATACCCGCTCAGGGATGGGGAGGTGCTGAGTAGAGGGGTAGGTGGTTTCAGGGAAAGGCTTTTGTCAGTTGCATCACAGGAGAACTGCTTGCTTCCTTGGATTTTGGCCAGGGAGGGGCTACTCCTGACACTCGTTCCCAGAGGGGAAGGGCTTCTCTTAGTAGGCACAGGCTGTGAGAGGGTTAAATAAGAGCCAGAATAGTCTCCATTGGCTTTAAATCTCAGACTGGAAGAGTATTTCTTGGGGCTCAGGCTCTCCATCACGTTTTGGGAATCGTCTTCCAGGGAATTTGTCACAAAGCCTGCCTCTAAGCTACCGTTTTGTAAATCAAGCTGCTTTTGCACGTGGCTATGCTCTGCCATGATCTTGCTGGAATCTGTCAAGGAAAAAGAAAAAAAAGTTTTACTTAACAAAGAAGACTGAAAAAGACCAAGTATTTGTCAGCCTACATCTGAACAAAAACAGCCTTACAGTCTGGCCTGATGTAATTAACAAACACAAACTCTGGTTTAGTAATAAACCTAGGTTTATTACTAAAATGAAGAAGCATAATGAACATTGATCTGGGATGATTTTTGTGCAAAAGAAAAATAACTCAAGAGGCCATCAATGACATTCGAGAACAAATCTCTAACAAAGTACAGGTGCAGGATTAGGCTGATCCATAAAAAAGACAATTTCCCACTAGCGTTCCAGTCCTTGGTGGACCACCTGCTTCCTGAGTACCAGGCAAACACCCAAAGTGGTGATGCAATGGACCCTCCTTTGGATGTCTCTGCTAGAATCATTAACTGTTCAGAAGTCAAGTCCTGCAGGACAAAATTCACATTCTGGCACACAAAGAAAGTTTCATGCTAGACACTGATCAGTAATATGAGGGTCAAAAGATGACTCTTGGGCACCTAGGTGGCTCAGTGGGTTGAGCGTCCAACTGTTGATTTTGGCTCAGGTCATAATCCCAAGGTTGTGGGATTGAGCCCCACGTCGGGCTTCATGCCGGGCATGAGCCTGCTTAAGATTGATTCCCTCCCCACCCCCTCTCTCTCTTCCTCTGCCCCTCTCCCCTGCTTGTGCTCTCTCTCTAAAATAAATAAAATGATGGGGCGCCTGGGTGGCTCAGTCGGTTAAGTGTCCGACTTCGGCTCAGGTCATGATCTCGCAGTCTGTGGGTTCGAGCCCCGTGTCAGGCTCCGTGCTGACAGCTCAGAACCTGGAGCCTGTTTCAGATTCTGTGTCTCCCTCTTTCTCTGACTCTCCCCTGTTCATGCGCTCTCTCTCTCTCTGTCTCAAAAATAAATAAATGTTAAAAAAAATTTTTTTTTAAATAAAATAAATAAAATGAAAAAAAAAATAAGACAGCAGATGACTCTTTAAAAGGGGCTATGAGAGTTACCTTCTGAAAAAAGATGTCATAATGCTCCTGTACCCATCAGAAAAAGGCAGGTAATTAAGGAAACAGAGGTAAGAGTGCTCCTGAAACTACTGCCATATTAGGGTAAGGAGGCAGTATTTAAAACGTGAAAATGGGAGTATTCTTTCAAGCTCTTGGTACCCTAATGAATCATGCTCATCCTTGATCTCACACTCTCTCCTCTTGTGGAAATGCTTTTCTCTGTCCTTTGCACTTATCTGAACACCCCATTCTTCAAGGCTCAGATTAGGATTCTATCTTCCATGCTTACCATTTTTTTAAAAACCTATGTACCCATAAGAGTATTTTGGACTCTAGTGTGAGTAACAACTTAAGAAAATAAAGTTTTAGTTTATGAAAATAAATACAAATGATCACTGCAAATAGAAGGCTGGCATTTGTAACTGATAAAGATATGTATTTTTTAGATTACCGCCAAAGCAAAAATACCATTTGCACATCCTCATTGAATTCACGCACTTCTGACACTGTCCAACGTGTCAGGCTCCTCACACACTAGTTATTACATCCCTCGTCTCTATGTGAACAGTGTTGCTTATGGTTAGTAATCAATTTTAATAATGTGCTTGTTTCTGTACCCAGGCCACAAGTTTAAAAAAGGGGTATTTCTAGTGTTCCTATCTCATTTCCAACCTCTCTTGATTCACACCGACCCGTTGGTGAGATACTCAATGAACACAAGTTTTCAATTTCAGTTACAGACTTCCCCCGTGCCTCCTACCCAGAGATTGACGATTTTGCCTTGGTTGCTCAGCTGTGTGAACTTCCCAGAAAGATCCAGGCAGTATAGTAGGGAACTGCTTCTTATCCAGACTGGGGGCCAAGAAACAGTCTAGGTGCTTTTATCCTATTGATGAGCTAGGTACACAACATCTTGTAAAGTTCAGCTTCCCCAACAAGCTCTGCCTTGGGTTCCCTTTCCTCCAACCCGAATCCCATCCTGATTGATTAAAAGCAGGATTATCTTTAAAATTTTTTTTAATGTTTTAACTTATTTTTGAGAGAGAGAGAGAGAGAGAGAGAGACAGAAAGAGTGAGGGAGGGGCAAAGAGAGAGGGAGACACAGAATCCAAAGCAGGCTCCAGGCTCTGAGCTGTCAGCACAGAGCCTGACCCGGGGCTCGAACCCAAAACGCGAGATCATGACCTGAGCTGAAGTCAGATACTCAACCAACTGAGCTACCTAGGCGCCCCAAAAGCATGATTATTTTTTGAAGTAGGCCTCAAAACAAAATAAAACAAAACTGAGAGTCTCCTTTAAAACTGCCTCCCGGTTGGAATGTGGTCATGCCATCTGGCTTTGATCAGGTCTTTCATTCTTCAGGGACAGCACCATCTCTGCCCCCAGGACAAATGTCCCTCTGAGCAACTGTCTGTGACCACCAGCTATGACCTTGAAAGCCACACGAGTCCAGTTTGGGACATACCTCACTCTGCCCCCTTGGAGGACTGAAACCAAGATGACCTGCAGTCATGATCCTCTCTGTTCTCAACCAACTTCATCTCCGGCTGGTTTGCCATGCTGAAAATCCAGCAAACCTTGGCCAATTCTCTCAGGTTAAATAGTTTTGAATGGAAGAAACAAGGAAATAAGTGGGTCCTGAGGACACTGCGATGTTAATATTTTATGGTGGGTGGGGGGAAATACCCTAAATGCCTAACAACAGGGAGAAAGTTAAATAAGCTATCATACTTCATATGAATGAATATTACACAACCATTCAAAGTAATTATTTTGAGGTACTTTTTAAATTTTATTTATTTATTTTGAGAGACAAACAGAGAGAGGAAGGATGGGAGAGGGGCAGAGAGAGGCAGAGGGAGAGAGAGAATCCCAAGCAGGCTCCGTGCTGTCAGCACAGACCCCAACTTGGAGCTCGAACCCACGAAGCATAAGATCATGACCTGAGCCAAAATCAAGAGTTGGATGCTCAACTGACTGAGCCACCCAGGTGGCCCTGAAGTGTAATTTATAGCATAAAAAGTACATTCATACAATATTCAGTAAATTTTAAAAGCCATATATAAATGAGCTCAGTTTTCTTATAGGTACGCCCACCCATACACACAGATTACAGACAAATGCTCAGGCCAGAATTCTGGGAGTCATCATTGATATCCCCAATCAGTGTCTTCTCCATCAATTCTATCCCTGGCCTATCATGTCCTTCCTCCTTTTGTCCATCAATAAATCTCATCAACATTGTCCCTAAAACAGCAGTCTCAATCTAATCATTTCTTACCATTTCCACTGCCACCCCCCATTATGAGCCAGTATCTTCTCTTGCTTTGTCTATATGCCAAGAACAACAAGAACAACAGAATGGAAGAGATCATGCCAAAAAGTTAGTAGTGGTTTTATCTGGGTAGTGGTATTACCAGTGATATTATTATTATTATTATTATTATTATTATTATTATTATTTTAGAGAGAGAGGGAGTGCATGAGCAGGGGAGAGGGGCAGAGGGAGAGACAGAGAGGATCTCAAGAAGGCTCCATGCTGAGAGTGGCTCAATCCCACAACCCACGATCAATCAAGAGTCGAAATCAAGAGTTGGGCCATTCAACTGACTGAGCCACCCAGGCATACCTACCAGTGATTTTTAATTCACCTCTCATACTAGTTTGTACTTTCCACATTTCATACAACCTGAGTTGTTTTGACAATTAAGGAGGGAAAAAATACTTAATGTGAAATACTAGAGTATATATAATCTGTGGCAATACTGCTCTTTTTTAAATTTGCATGTATTTTACTTTATTTTATTTCAGATCTTTGAGGTGCAATTGACAGATAAAATTGTAAGATATTTAAAAGGCACACTGTGGTGATGTGATGTACATATATGTTGTGAAAGGATTCACCATCTGGTTAGTTAACACACCCACCACCTCACACGTATGTGTGTGTCAACATTCAAGTTGTAAATGACTTGGTAAAAGGGTGCAAACTTTCGGCCTTAAGTTGGATGTCTGGGGATGTAATGCAAAATATGGTGACTATATTACAGTTGAAAACATTATTATGTAATTGAAATTTGCTAAGTAGAACTTAAAACGTTGTCAGAAGTACTTCATGTTTAAATTGATTAGGTCCTCATTCTTCCTAAGTTCTTGTCGAGCTGTTGAGCGAGATCGTAACTCTTGTAAAAAAAAGGTTCTGTTCTAAATGACTCAGGCAAAATGTTAATTGTGCAAATTTACCCATTCCATACTCTCTTAATCTGAACAACACAACGGTTTTCCTGATATGAGTACAGTGGACAGAGTGGTTACTGAAAAAGTCCCACAAGTTTGCTGAACACAGCTGGGACAATAATATTAGTATCCTCATCTTCTAAAAACTGTAGTTGACAGGATACATACTTGAAGTGGTTCTGCTTATTGTACAGAAAGAAATTAAAATCCCAACAGAAAGCTTTAGGTACTTCATTCCTTAGGTGGCTCTTAGGTGCCCATCGTGTGTCAGATATTGATTCGGTCCTGTTCTCCTCCTGTCAGAAACAAAGCAGTATTGCTCTTCTACACCCCGTAACATTGGGATACGGCTGTGTCTCTGGCTTTGATCAAGGAACTAGGAGAGAAAGGGAGACGTCAGTTCCAAGCTGAAACATTAAGAGCTGGGGCATGATTCACTCTTTCCATCCCTCTGCTGAGACGGCTAGCATGCATCCAAGTCTGTACCCCTCAGTGAGGACACCGTGGAACAGGACCCCTGCCAACCCAAGATGGTCTTAAGCCACTGAGATTTGGGAGTTGTTTGCTACCAGGAAGGTGTTAATCTTCCTTAAGTTCTTACCATAAACTAGGCTCTCAAGCTGAGTACTGGGAAGCATGTGGTCAGACACCACTTCCTGCCTTACACGGCTTATAGTCCAAGGGGAGAGACACTCATATGAACAAATGATTGCTCTTAAGACACATGCCTTAATAAAGAAC